TGAACCTCAGCACGGGACACTGAAGCACTCTGGGGCAAACTTTTATTTTACGTACATCAGTGTAAACCCCATTGACCTGGAAGTGTTTATTCCAGCTTTACGCAGCAGCACCAGTGAGAGCAAAACCAAACCCTTTCTGTCTTGGACAAGATAGGAAATCATAGTCTTAACTATTTGCAGACATTAAAAATCCCTCAACGTTCCTGTTTAGAGTAGGGGTGTTAACCCATTTGTCCTGGCCAAATTCCAACCTGGGTAATTACTATAATCTGTCTGTTTAAATTATCCCTGCCGTTTTAATTGGATATATTACTTCTCTTGCTGCCTAAACTGTGATGTAATACCATTGTGTGTTATTAATCAGTTACCAAGTTTCATCCCAGAAGCAGCTGCGTTGCAGTGATAGGTAGAAAGACTCATTCCCTCCTGGTTACGAGTGCTCTCCATTACAGTGTAAAAAAAACCCCAGCATATACTCGGTTTTTTAAGTGGCAGACAAGATAATATTTCAGTTAAAATAGACGGCTTTAAAATGAGATTTTCCCATTTGGTTTTGAAGACTGTGAAGTCTGCCTGACTATACAAATATAGGCCACCAACTTGCAGCTCTCCAAAATGTTCCTGGTGCTGAAGGTACGTTTTTGCCAATGGAAGTCAGGACCTCTTATGTATTTGTATTTGATTTTTACTTTGATTTCTTTCATGTTTGAATGTGAAGTTACAGTTACTTTGAGAAAAACTGATCTTCCAACTATGCAGAGGTTCCCAAGCCTGCAAAAGGTGAAACTTCCCACTGATGTGTGTTGGCCTGAGTCTGTTTATGTCCAGTGGAGCTGGCAGATTTGTCACCACTGGGAAAGGAGTCACTGAAACTCCTCAAGGCTAGCCCTGTTGCAAGGACTGTATTTCTGAACTGGCATCTTATACATTTCTGCTTTCTCTCCATTATCCTGAAAATGTGACCGGTCAAAGAGAATGAGATGAATGGCCATCACAAAATGCAGAATATTCTAGGGTGAAAAGCAGCAATTGGCAAGAAGGAAGGCACATCCATTCTAATGTCATGGAACAAAAGATGCTTTCTCCCTCCAAAAATCCCTGTCACTGTTCCTAAAATTCAGGATCATCAGTCTCACTGCTCATGGAGGCTCAGAGTTCCACAGGACAGTCTAAGTGTTCCTTCTGTGAACGGAAGCTCTTGAAGGAAGTGTAAATCTTTGAACATTTCTCTTTAGTTCATCTGTTATGCTGTAATCATTGCCATGTAGAATTTAGGTGTCCAGGGTCCTGTTCTAGTCCTTGGACATTGATAACATTGCAGAAAGTAATGCACTCTAGTTGGTTTTCGATGCCTGGTAAGGAAGAAATACATTGTCTCCTGTAGGTGCTTACTGCACTGACAGTAGCAGGGTGGTAGCCACCTGCCTTAGACTGGAGACTTTAGGTGGCTAAGCCGAGGTGAGATGAACCGTGTCATATATATATAATATGCCCTGGACTCATGCAGCTACCGGGTATGGACTTTTATAACCCTGACAAAGCTTTTGCTTTTAAATTCCCCTTTAGTTTAGATCCTTCTAAAGAGTAAGGCTGTTGTAGCAGCAGAACAGTATGAGTTTGGGAACTTGGCAGGAGCACAGACACTGGCTGAACCTTCATGTGGTGGCACTGGCGTGGCTGGTTGCAACCAGGAGGAGAGGAAGCTGTAGTGCCACAGCAGTTCTGGAGAATAGCAAGGCAGTCACAAAAGTAGTGCTCACGTGGTTTTGGAGTTACTAGGACCCACAGGCACGCACGTCTCTTGAATCATGTATTTGCACACAGGATATTGATCCCCTGTGTGTTTGTTTTTCTTACGATCCAGCTAACTGCAGGTGAGACTTGCATGGTTTGGCATTTCCAAGCCAGCTCACCTAACAAAAAACCGGGAGAAAAGGAACAGAAAAGTCTGGTGGAGCTAGCATGTCTGTATTGCCTAAGTACATCTCCTTATTTTCATGTTTCTGTGATGGCTGGTCCTTTTTACTGTGCAGGAGGGTAGATGGGTCGGCTTTCTGGAGAGCTGCATGAATCTCAGGATACGCTACCTCTTAACACCCACCAAAGCATTTTTTAGGCTGATGGTCTGCAGACACCCAAAGGCAGCCAGTACAACAGCCAGACCTCCAGTAAAATACGCTGTGCACAGACCTCTGGAGCAGGCAGAGATACTGGCTAGTGCCAGTAGCTAGCAAAGCCAGAGCTGACTTCCAGCTCTTACCCAGTGAATGAGTTGTAGTTGTATGGGAAAGCTATGAGTTGGAGAAATGGCCGAGCATTGTTCATGCACCGAGGCACAGCACATCCCCCACCTCCAGTAGATGCACTCTGTAGATGTGCTGTGAGCTGCAGCAAGGCAGTCCCGAGGCCTGGACAGGTCAGAAAGCACCCAGCGCTGCTGTGGGAGATGTGGCATAGGGTGACCCTGCAGGCATTAATGCTGTTACTCTGCAGTGGATTGCACTTCAGACTCGCATCCTGTGAGGTGCAGAGGGGGACGCTGCTGGAGCAGCTACTCCCCTGCTCCACCTGCCGCTTTCCCAGGCTGCATCCCACAGAAGCTCCGTGCACAGCTCAGGGAAACAAGCTCAGCAACAATCCCCTCCGTTCAGTATCCGCAGCTTTCACACAGGGAGGTGGGGGTGATTTCCTCCCAGTGTTTGTTGTTGGGATTTTTGTCCTTTTTTTTTCCCCCCCTTTTAATGAATCAGGCCCTAGGTGAAAATAACGCATTGTTTAAATCTGATATTTAATGTTGAGCAAACTGCTCTTCCTTTGTCTCTTACTATTTTGTTCATATTTTGCTAAGAATCTGCTATTCTACACAAACATTTTAATAAACTGTTTGTTGTTGTATCCAGGTAACAAGCATGGTAAGTATTTTAACTAAATCAAGTATTATGTACCTTAGCTGTGCTTGGCAGAATTTTTGGCTAGCTTTTCCTGTACTTTCAGCCTGTGCTGTTTCTAAAGGAGCTATTCAAAGGAAGAAACTGCTCACCTATAGTTCTACTACATACAAGCTTTAGAGGGAGCATATGTGCAAAGTCGTATATCGTATATAAGAGCATGCACCTCTTGCCAGCATGCTTGCTACTTTGCTTGTAAAATAAAAACAGGAAAAAATCCAAATCCTTGCCTAATACTGCTTGTGTTCCTTCATTCTAAGTCATACCTAAATATTAGCACTTATTAATAAGTACTACTTTTGGATGAGGTTCCCCACTATACCAGATAGTAGCAGTCTGTTGTTTACTTATTTTACCTGACCTAAAATATCCACTTGGTTAACTCTCTTGCATTAAGAGACTTTCCTTTTCTATTCTGTGATTCTGTGTGATTGGCAGTGACTACAAGTGCTGCTCTAATATGAGTAATTGATAACAACACATCTTTTCCTAAACTTGTTCCTGTATGCTTGAAAAGAGCAGAAATTTTATGGCTGATTGTTTTCTTTGGGAACACTGTAAATCAGTAAAGTGCTACAATTGGAAGTTTAAAATGTTAATTACAGTTTTGTGATCCAACTCTCAAAATACTTGACATAAAATGGAATCCAAAATGTTTTAAACCCGTAAGCATGAAGAAAAATCTGTCATTGTTTGCGAGTCAGTCGCAGTTCTGTGTTCTCACTTAACCGTGTAATACAAAAGGCAAACTTCTCTTAGATCTAAATGATAGAGCTCAAATCTCAGTGCTCCCTGTCCTGCAGGCAGAGCCTTAGCAGCAGACTCTGTTTAGTCCAGCCTGATATAAAATCAGCAGAATTTGCTCAGATAAGCAAGTGGGCAGTAGTTTGCTCTCCCAGAGCTTCTTGTGTGTTGGCAGAGCAGACTGTGAGAATTCAGGTCTACCATGCATGTCTGAGAGGAGGTTTTGCCTTGAGGTAGTTTGAGTGTTAGCCTCCATGCTGTATTTTTTTTTCCTGCATGGTTTGCTATTTTTGCATTTTCTGTGTGGCTTTTTAAGTTTTTAGTTATGTGCTTGTAGCTGCAGTTACTTAATGTCGTTTGTTGTGCCAAATGTTTTAAGACTCCGTGTAATTGTCATGTTAAAGGATCAGACAGCAAAGGACAAAGCACTCCAGCACATGGCAGCAATGTCATCAGCTCAGATAGTCTCAGCTACTGCTATTCACAACAAGCTGGGCCTGCCAGGAATTCCCCGTCCTACATTTCCTGGGGCACCTGGGGTAAGTTGTTAGCCGAGTCCCAAAAAAATCCCTGTATTCTCTAACAATGTTCAGTAGAAAACTAAGGCTGAATGAATGGATTAATGCTTTCACTTGTGTTTGCTAAAGGAATCGTGCTTGTTCAGAAATATCCAAAATCTTTCAGCAAACAATTGAGGGTATGTTTGTTTGTTTTTCCTCTTTTAGTTTTGGCCGGGCATGATCCAAACGGGGCAGCCTGGATCCTCGCAAGAGTAAGTCTGAAAGTTAAATTATGCTTCCATATGCAGCGTGGAGCTGGCTTGTGCACTTTGCTGCCAGAGGATATCAATGGGGCAAGAACTTGCAAATTTTTCTAAAAAGGAGGCAAAGGTAGTTGGAGGGAAAGAAAGAGCCCTTACAGTGTTGTGAACTCACATTCAAAAAGTTATAAGGGATCCCAGGCCTCAGATCTGAATACCTAATGGGCACACTCCTCTTTCTCCCATTGCGTGGTGAGATGCAATGATAGTGCCAGGGAAGCAGCTGGTGAGATTTTGCCCGTGAATGAGTTTCCAGTACAAATGCTTCCATCCTCTTTTAAGTATATGAGCAATACCAGAGGCAAGGGGGACATATTTTCCTGCAGGGCAGGAGATGACCATGTGAGGTCCATTAGTGGTCAGTGGGGTTATCGCACTTTGGCGCTGTGGTAGCAATGGCGCCATAAGGAGAAGGAAGCCTTCTCCCTTCCATCAGGTGTTAACGTTTTTGTGGTGGTCTCTGGAGCAATGTTTGTGAGCCTCATTTTTCAGCTTCTCCCCACCCTATTCTTTGTGCCCCTGTAGTTCAGTGTCCTCTGGATTTATTGGGAGTCAAAGCAGTCACGATCCATGTCTGCTGTGACACTTGCGATGTGTGGGTCAGGTTTTCTGCTGCATGACTGAGCGCAGATGAGCTCCTCACTTTAAGATGTTGAGGGAATTCTCATCCCCACTCTCTCTATTGCATCATTACTGTCTGTCTGTTAAATATGCTATGTAAAGAAGAGGTATGTTTGTGGGTAAAGATCGATAACAACGTATTTTCTTATACTATGTGATTCTAATGGAATTTACTGTGGATGGCATGGTATATGATTTTTGTGTAACTCTCTAT